TGCTAGATCAAGAATGCTGAGGACTGAAGTGTTCTATCACAGATTGCACTGGTTTTATAGCCTCTGTTCTCAATTTCCAGTTGGAATTAGGGTTGATAGGAATTGCACTGCCTTGTATGTTTACATCATGGGATGCCTGATGTCAAAGCAGGCTCAGCATACTCAACTACTGCATTGCCATGTCACTTTAGAACTTTGGGAGGGAGGATATGTGGACTGCAGCTCCCATTGGTCTTAGCCAGACTTCCTAATTGTGGGAGTGTGTGATGTAGATTACCGACAGTGATGGGCCTGCCAGAGCTATCCAAATCAGGCCCACAAACATGACGCAACCTCTCCTGCTCACAAGCAACCCTTGCCCCATTATTGGAACTCTGGGTGGCCAGTTGAGGAAGGAGAGCCTGGCCTGTCCACCCTGCCTCCAAGGGAAGACTCAGCCCAATAACCAGAGGATATGAAGGCAACAAGAAGGAGAAGAACCATCCATAGTGCATGGAGGGCACACAAGGGCACATGAGGGTGGTGTGTGTCCACCACATATGATGGGAAGGGATCTATTGAGAGTGGACATTCTCCTGTATTGAGAATGGCTGCTCTAGATTACCCAGAACAAATTAAACCCAACAACCACATTGGGATAAGACCTTGACTAAAGGCCCATTCAGGTGCTTACTAAAAGGATTAAAATCAACACAAAAGCAGGAAAATGAACTACCCAGCCTGCTTCCTCCTCTTCCTCTATATACAGTGGTGCCTCTCTAGACCAAACAAGGAGGAACTCCCTAGAGATTACTTTTGACAATGACAGTAAGACAGGTTTTTTCCTTGACCCTGTTTTGCAAGATGGTTCCCCTCCCCCCCCCATTGGAACTCATTACATAAGACCTACTTTTTTTATCCCAAAAAAGTGGGGGAGGAAGTGTATGCTTCTGTTTTTCCAAGAAAGCCAGCAGCATACACTTTCTCACCCACTTTTTGGGATTTTAAAAGTAAGCCTTATGTAATTAATGTGTTTCAATGGGAAAAACCATCTTATAAAGCATCACCAATGGGACTATGGTTGCAAATTTAAATGGCAGAAGAAGGTGAAAACAGCCAGGAACCAAAGGGTAAAGACATTATTAAAAAAAAACAGAAAAATCACAAATATAATGGCCCTATTAACATAAATTATATAGTTGAGTTCCCCATATTTAGGGAAATCACAGGGTTTAACAGCATACCAAAATACAATGGATAAGCATCTCCCTAGGAAAATCATTTCGATAACATGGTATTTCTCCCATTAAGGTATAAGTTGGAGTGGCCCTTGCATCTCCTACCCCCTTCTGTCCCCTGAC